TTGTGAATCACTTTCCTCATAATATTATTTGTTGGCCGTATGGTGCTACTAGTTGGTTAATTGTTGTTGACGATATCAAGAGACACTAGTTGCAGTTACCGATGTTAGTTATAGCAATTCTATATTGGCCACTATGCTCTGGCTCATAGAACTTGACATTCAACTCAATTTTTATCTTGCATATTCAATTAGCTACAGAATACGACATCATTTTCTTCAATATTGAAGAAAATTGTTCTCTCACTGTTTTTTTTTATTTATTTTAAATAAAAAAAGCATCTATCATGGGCGAAACTATCAAATATGCTATGTTAATATACGAAGCCTTCATAGAGCAGGTCTTGTTTTTTTCTTATGTGCTAAAAATGCAATAAAAGTTCAAACTTCTTTTTTTTAATTTTAATTTATTCATCATATCAGCAAAACAATGCAGATTTGCTCGATCACTGATGAGGGAACCTTTCCAAGTATTAATCGCTGATCGAGCTCATATTTTGCCCATAACTAAGACTCGATGAGACTAGTAGAATCCTGGAAGGATTCGTCCCATACGCTGTCCTTTTGGAGTTACGATTATTTTACTGGTTTTTCGACTTGTGGGAATGGTATTTATAGGGAAGCTCAACTATGGAATTTTGACCTGAAATTTTGTCTATCAACAGGTCTCATGGTTACTAGAATGTCCTAAAAGTTTCAGCTAAAATGAATGTTTCTTTCTCAAGATATTGAATTTTCAAGGAACGATCATAGGGTGTGGCGTGGATGTGCGTGTGTGGGTGGATGTGGGGTATGAGTGTGTGGGATGTGGGTGGGTGTGGTTTTGGGTATGGCTGGATGTGGGTGTGAGTGTTAGAGTGTGCTGTTATCTCATTGACTGACATCCACACCCCACACCCAACACACACATCCTGAATTCTAATTTGAACCATAACATATATATATATTGTTGTTTTACAGAGTCGCCAAAAGTTAGGCTTTCGTTCTTCCTTTCCTTTTGTTTATTTATTATAGATTAGATGCCATATGTGCTGATATATATGCACGAACTTTATTATTAAAAAATGAAAAACAAACGAAAACATATATGATATGTATACGAAGAACGAAAGAAGAAAAGATACTAATGATATCAAAAGTAGGTGAAAAATCATAGAAGATGATATAGAAGAATGATTATGTCAACGTGTGACATAATGTAAGAAACATTATTCATTTAAGGGTGATCAATAAATGTAAGCGTTAGGTTTAGGTTCATGCGGGAAAGTAACGAAAACAAACTAAGAGAACAAAAATGGGCAATAGCAAACAAAATGTGTTCCGCTTCTCTAACAATTGTGAGATTTTCATTTTGGAAAATTTATATGACTCTTGCTCTAACTTAAGGATTAGGTGAGATGACACTTAAATATGTAACCCTGGTCTGTTACGGGAACAAGGAATCTCACGTAAAATATAAAGAAACATTCTTAGCGGTTATTGCTATGTTGAAAAAAAGGGGGAAATGAGGTAGCTGTATAGGTTGTATTGATGATAATATAGCCGCTTAGAAAAGAAGAATAGCAATAGGAAAGACTAACTAAAGAATAATATGATCGGTAAAGAAAAATTAGTAACAGCAAGTGAGATAGAAAAAAATAACTTGGAATAATTCCTGCACCGTCTAGAGAAAACGCACATTAATTATAGGAAAAAAAAGAAAGAAAAACCAATAGAGAATGACGGAACAGTTAGCGGTAATCGAGTGACCTCTATAGTCGCCAACATGTGTTTTTCTTAAACTTGCTGCTCCATTATACACAATTTGTATTTTTGTGTTAAGTTGAACGTTTTGTGGTAACGCTGCACGTGATGTATGCTTAATCATTTTATCTATTTTTATATGAATAGAAGATATTTTATTGAGTATAATTTAAATTTACCTGATTTATCTAAATTTCCAAGAGCTACAAGTGGAATATAAGTTGTAGATTGAGATAGTGGAAAAAGATCACGTCGTCGCCATTTTGAGCCACCGAAATTTGATAAAGTAAATTCACAATAAGTTACACCATTGTTAAGTGCTAGTGAAGTCGGAGTTAAAGTTCCATCCAGATTTGCTGTTGTACTAAATAACACTGTTGATAAACGACCAAGTGGATTAATACCACGAACAACTGAAATTTGATCGTTAGCTGAACGTTTGCAGACAAAAACGTGATCTTCACCCTATATATTAAAATATAAGTATTTATAAAATATAACTTATATGCTATACCATGTCGTCATCAAGTGAAAGACCTAAAGCAAACCATTGCGATGTTTTTAAATTATTAATTTGCATTTTTACAGATGTGACACCATTATTGTAAGTCCAATTAATAATAACTCCACTACTGTTGCTCTGTGGACCAATAGAAGTCGTAGTAGCAGGAGTAGTGACACGAATGACCGTAGAAGGAGAAGTATTTCGAGTGATAGTAGAATGATGAAGTTTTGGAGTGGTAGTAAGATGATGAGGCTTCGGAGTGGTAGTAAGATGATGAGACTTCGGAGTGGTAGTAAGAT